TGCTGTGTTCACACCAGACGTGGAAGAATCATCAAGCGCATGTTAAGTAAATGCAAAGGCACGAGCAGTATAGAGTCCCCTTCACTATACTGGGGTGTTAGGACTCACACAGACCGCAGGTTGAGGGCCTACTGCTGGCCTCACATACTGCATAACTCTCTTACAGTAAAATACAATTTATATTACAGTTAAATACTGTGTAATTTACAAAAACCGTTAACATTGTAAATATATCAATAACAACTGAACAATTAGGTTTTGGGTAAACGTATTATTATTTTTATAGCCTTAATTCAGTGAGTTAGGTAGTAATTGGCTTGTTTTGCGATTGATACACAGGTAATCTTCCATGTTTTAAATCTATTGGTTCTTTTTTCTCCATTTCACTTGTTTCTTTGGCTACAGCTGACAAATAAAACAAATAATAAATGAATAAACAAAACATCTCCACTTTACAATCAGCGCTCTAGACCTGCAGACTGATTCGATTCAAGAGTCTCATCAAGGTTACCAACACTAAACATGCTAATTATAGTCTTTCTGGAAATCTGGGTTGACTTTTAAATTGAACATCAAGAGACGGCAGACTTTTTTCAGCACCTGATGTTTCTGCAGTCCACAAAACATCTTTATATCTTATGTGTTTTATGACATGCAATTATGACGATACACCAGCATGGGTTTTCATTTATCCAGGTGTTTGTAAAATGTATCATATTCCTAATTTGTAAGCAAATGGATGTTTGTTGAAGCAATTTCACCAGCCATCCATATGGCTTAATCAATTGTAATACATATTTAGCATCAACTTGTGAACAATTTTAGTGTTTCGTATAAAAGCGAAACTTGCATGACGTTCGTGCTTCAGTCAAATGTTTAGCCGTATAAATCCATTCTCATATAACCCATAAGCAGTTTTGCATAGAAGGCTTTCTCTCAAAAAGATGCATACATAAACACCTGGAATACATGAATAACTATAGCCAGGATGAAGGAGGCAGAAAAAGGAGACGGATGGAGGCTGTGTTTTAGTATCTGTGGCAACATCGTATACTCAGACACTTCAAAGAGCAGGGCTTAATTATTCCAGACCGTTACAACACACTCATCGCCATGATCTCATGCATTTTCATCAGTGTTCAAAGAAAATGATTGAATGGGATGGAATGAGACATCATAGAATAGGCTGGGTGAAAATGAAAGCCATTCAAAAGAGCACCAAAAAAGCAGCTAATTGGACTACACATGCGAATTACTGATGTGTGTGCATATTAGCGTTCTTCTTGGACAAAAATACACACGTGATTAAATATGTGTATTAATGCATCTTTTTTCATTGCTTAACTTGTTTTGACATTTTATGGACTATTTTGGTCAAGTCTTTCATTGCATGTGGTGTTAGTTTGAAAATACAACTTAAAACAAATCTCTATTAATTTTAATTTAGTTTACTATAAAAGTTATATCATTTACTTATTAAATTATATTTTTATACTCTTCAAAAGCTTTAAAATATATGAAAACCTTTACTATAAAATATGAAAATAACCTTTACTGCAACCACTGATATCACACTTCAAAAAGTAGATTTTCTCTGTATTTTGATCTTCAAAATGAAGCCAGTTAATGGTTAAAACAAAAACAAGTATCAACGTTCGGAAACTAAATTCAAACAGAAAATTAATTTATTATAGCCCCCAAACTTGGTGTAAGCATGTTTCATTTTTTTACTTTCGATGAACACCAAACAGACGTTGAAGAATGTTGGAAACCTGTAGACACTGAATTTCATAGAGTCTTTTTTTTTCTTATGGATGCCAATGGCCACAAGTTTCTAACATTCTTCGAAATATCAGATTTTTAGTAAAACTTTAAAGTTTTAGAACTACATGAGGATGATTAAATGGTTCATTTTCATTTTTTGGGTGTACTTTGCCTAATTTTGCTCAGGCTTTCAGAAGACTAAATTTATTCTGTTAGCATCCTACTAAAAATTAGCTTGATATTAGTCTTAGCATTAGCATTGACTAACTTCATATGGCGCAATTGTTTTAGAACACGATTAGGAATAAAAACATTCTTTTAGCATAGATCTCACTAATATATATCTAGACTTTTTATTTAAAGGGACAGTTCATCCCAAAATCAAAATGTAGCCTACTCACTAATGCACAGGTGTCAAACTCAGTTCCAAAAGGGCCGCAGCTCTGCACAGTTTAGTTCCAACCCTAATTAAACACACCTGATCAAACTAATTGAGTCCTTCAGGCTTGTTTGAAACCTACAGGTAAGTGTGTTGGAGCAGGGTTGGAACTAAACTGTGCAGGGCTTCGGCCCTCCAGGAATTGAGTTTGACACCCCTGCTCTAATGGGTTAAATGCAGAGCTAGTGTTTCTTCCCATATCGATAAACTTCCGTTGAACGGTTAATGTTTTTCAATTTTTTACTGTTCCTTTTACAGCATCAGTGCTGTAGTGTAATTAAAATATAATCAGTTAAATAGATTTCAGCATTCATTTAGTTGTTCAAGCATAAAAATAGATAAAAAGCCGTTTTCAGGCAGGCGAGTGTAGCAACTCCATTGAAAATATTGGTGTAAAATACATTTTCATATTTTAAAGACATGGCATGGAAAATGTAATAAAAAGAGCCCTTATTATGTATTTTTGAAAATGATCTTCATGTAGTGTGTAACATATGTAATTGAAGAGTAATATCCAGCTAAGACTTAAATCTAAAAATGCGCCGTGTTTAAAACTATTGACTCATTTTTAAAAGAGTCGACTCATAGTGGTTCAAATGAATCACCGCAGTAACGAGTCTTTAGCTGTGTTGGTGTGACGCCGATACGGAACTCAAGCCCCGCCCATTTGTTGCATGCAGACCTGGGAAAATTGAAACTCCCGGTCCCGCCCACAAAAACTGTAGAAAGAAAAACACTATGGCAGATCCCAATTGAATCATGTCGTTAAGACGCGAGGGAAAGTGTGAGGGAAATTTTATACTTTCCTTACCCAAAGATGAGACTGTGAAGAGTCAGTGGTTGAAGGATATTTTTGTAAAAATACCTCAGCATTATAACCCCAGCCTTGTGCTTGTGTTCCCATCATTTTTCTGCAAGTGCTTCAGCAATCTACACACTTACAACGGGGGATTCATCGGCTGTTTGTTAAAGAAAGGATCAGAAAAGACTATTGATGTATGACACATATTACAAGTGTAAGTGTGATTAAAATTGTTGCCTCCTTGTTATTTCTAGCTTGCAAATGATATATTTAATTGTCTTTTGTTATTTGTAACCGCTTGTACTGTATCTGGTTAACTCTTTATTTTCTCATATTGCGTCTAAAATCCGGTAGAAAACACACCGCGTGCTGCTTTGTTTACGGATTTAAATGCATTTGGAGCTCGAGATCCATTGCCATTTGTCATTGCTATGGCCTATGTCAGCTGTTCCTACACACGTGTGTCGGTCAAGTATCAAAATAGTTCAGCTTTTGCCACTGTTTGGATTTATACTGGATGTGCGTTAAACTGCATTGCTTTACTCCTGGATTGGGCTCACAAATACACTGCACTCGGACTACTTCAAATTTGTTGATAAGCCGTGGAGAGCATCTCTCTCTTATAGCATTGCACAAAGGAGGGGTTTGGGAACAAATGAATCGCTGAATGAAACATATTGGAGTCGTTGGGATAATTAGGTAACAATAAATGCATATTACTAGACAATGAAAGTGTTTTTGCATGCAAATCAGCCTGTTGTTGGAGACCCAAAACCAAAATATGACCTTTTTAATGCATAATAGGGCTAATGTATATTCTGAGGCCCTCTTCATGTCAATCAGATAGTGAAGATCGTTGATTTTTAAAGAAAACACCTTAAATGCATGGATTTTGTAACGTGCATACAGTTCACTGAAAGCGTTTGACCCAGATTACAGAAAAATTAAAAGTCCTTCTGCATATACCGTATTGACTGGTCATAAACCTTTCATTCATTAATTTTCCTTCGGCTTGGTCGATTTGTTCACCAGGGGTTGCCACAGCTGAATGAACCACCAACTTGAACCACCAACATCACCAGTAAGAACAGGTGGAGCAGCCTGGTAAAAGAGGCAGGCAAGATCATCGGTTTTAACCAAACTGGTCCAATGGTGATTTACTATGATTATGTTTTAAAGAGAGCTCAGGGTATCCTATGCACCCCGGATTACCCATTGTACTCTGTATTTCAGCTGCTGCCATCATGACGTCATTTTAGAGTTCCTATTTGCAGGTCAAATAGAAATTATTGGTGGCCATTAAGTCAAATGAGTCCAGGGGGGAGGGAGATGCACCTACATAATGATGTATTGTATGTTGTGTGGTATTATTTTATATAGTGTGTACATGGAACTTTGCCTGTGTTATGGCACCTTGCTGCAATTTTAGTTTGACTAAATGGGATAATAAAGTTGAGTCTGAGTCAACTTATCCTGGATGTTTTACACAGTGGAAGCCCCCCAGCTGCAAAACAGTACTGGAAAACACCCATACACTCATACATTACAGCATATTTTAGTTTATTCAATGTTTATAAACCTGCTTGACTTCATTCTTTCTGATGAACACAAAAGATGTTTTGAAGACAGTGGAAAACCTGTAACCCAGGACTTCCATTGTAAGAAAAACAATACCGATCTTTCTTCAAAATATTTTCGTTTGTGTTTAACAGAATAAAGAATCTCTTATTTAACTTTTAAACAGGTGAATGGTGGGTGAAGATGACAGGATTGTCAGTTTTAGGTGAACTAACCTTATGCCTTTAACTTTTCAAATGCAAAAAAAAATGGATTTAGCGAAAATGTAATAACTACTAAAAATAAATTAGGATTAAAAACATTTTACAAAGGATTACAAAACCTACTCTCACATGACAGGATCCTCGACAGTGGGCCATTTGTGGCCTGTTGTCCGCCAGCGGAGCGCTTTTAGGGCAGGGCTTTCTGAATGAAGCGATGCTGTGAAACTCACTCTTGAGGAAGTCCATTTCTGGGTGAGCGTGTAGAGGAAGGGTTGTTCTCCGAGCTTCAGGCAGCAGTAAAGCGGTAAAATGATCGTCGTCATCGAAGACCAGGTAAGAGCCGTGCTTTAATTCAACAGACTCTCACCTGAAACTTTATTGTCGAAAATTAACCAACAATATCACGCGCTTTGACTGAGGAGGACACGTTTTGCTGAGTAACTCTAGGAGAGAGCCTGCTCGCTGTCATCACGCCAATCTCAAAGAAGTTTACTAAACAATTTAACAGCTTTATGTGATAAATCATACCGTATTAATGGGGCATGAACTTTAATAATAGCTCAATTCAGAATGCGATGAGAAATATTCGAGAGTTAGCCTATCTGCTAACCAGTTTTAACAACAGCTTATAACATTTTTCCTAACGCTTCCTAGCCAGCACTTAAAAACTAAATGTATTAATAATGAAATACCTCATTATACCGCTTCTTATGTTATTCTGACTGCAATATTTCGTTGTGAAATGATGATCCAGCGCATGAGAAACAGTATGCGGCAGCTGCCATGCCGCTTTGTGTTACATAACTTCCTGGTTGTGACCAAGAAAGGAGATTTAAATGTACCGTTTAAACGTGTGCTCATGTATGATCTTTTACTCTCATATTAAAGAAATCACACTTGTGTGTAGTTTTGTTTATTTCGGCCATTCGCGGCCTGATTGAGAGCAAGCGCGCCATCGAGTCACGTGGGTTGGACGCTTCTCAATTTTTTTTGCACAGCCGCATTTGATCATTTGCCGCAGTGAAACAGGAAATATGTTAACCTGGCTTTATGATAACCATAAGCATATCAATATCTAGTTATTTTTTATATTTAGTAAGCCGCCCTGATGTAATTATTTAACCCATGTTCTTAATAAACGGCCTAAATAAATCATTAACAGGCCACTGTCTGTGATGGTTTACCAATGTGGTAAGTTGTGTCTAAGTAAAAAAAAAAGTTTGAGGACATGTGGTATACGTCGGTGTATACATAACATGCACAAAAAGGTATAAAATAGCACGAGATTCGCCAAAAATAATTCTTTAACTTAGTTTTTGTATAAAAGTGTTTTAAAAATAATTATGTATTTTTTTTATAAATGTGGCAGATTATGCAAATATGCAAGATTCATATTCTCTGCTTCCATCAATTAATAAAATTGCTTCAAAACCGAACAATCAGGCCTTGTTCATTACAAAGCAACAGATCTGACTGACTGATCTGGTTCAGCATATGAGTGAAGTGGATTGACCAATATATTTTTTATCTCTCTTCATCATATTCCACAATAGAAAGATTCATTGTTGTTTATTGTCTACACTCTTACTTTGCAAAATTAGATTGGCAATAAATGAAAATCGCATTTAACATTTAAATTCATGCTTGCTATTTCACAGATATGAAACAAAGTGTCTTACATGCACATATATTTAAAAGATATTGCAAAAATGGCAGTTTATTTATTTTTCTATACATTTTATGTATATACAGGGTGCCCACTCTTCTTGAAAGTACTTAAAAGTGCCTGAATTTTCGACATGGATTCAAGGCCTGGAAAGTACTTAAAAACAAATATAGGCCCTTGAAAGTGCTTAAATTAAATCTGAAATGAAATAGTTTATGGATTTATTGTAAAAGCAGAACAAAAAAAAACATAGACATTCATAATATAATATTTAGTAAAAATATTACTAAATATTATGAAATAATACTGTCAAGATAATGCACATTTTACCAGTACTTCAGAAACCACATTTAAATATCATCAGTACTGAATTCAACAAACTTGAATTTGAGAAAATATCTTTTTAGTCCTATCACACGTTAAAGTGAATTTTATATAAAATCATAATGCACACACAGTCTCTGGACTTGCTACATCACAGAAACCAATAATTTAACAATTTCTAAATAAAAAAAAAGATCACTTTCTGGCCATTGGATATTGAGATAGGGATTTTCGAAAGTATATCTTTGTAAACGCTTATTACCATTTGTTTAGTTTCCCTATACAGTTTGATATAGAGCTTGGACCTGGAAGCTATATGGGATATGAAGCAGATATGTTTTATTTGAAAATTAAGTATTTTGAAGAAGTTAACATGTCAGGCTAAATAATTCAAACAAATTATTGACTTCTGCCGTCTTTATTAGTTTCTAAAACACAGATTTCTTTACATGTTAAAACATCTTTAGATATCCATTTAGTTTAAGATACTTTTGTCCTAACAAAAACGAGAATACTGTAAAGCAAAAAATGAGCGGTTTTAAAACTTTGACTTTTCTAAACCACAGTATACCTTGAAAATGGTTATTGTCCCATGCTTAGTCCTTAAAAGTCCTTAAATATGCTGTTCATGAAAGTTCCTTCTGCAAGCCGATTGGACATAGTAAAGTCATTCTGATAGATTGGGAAATGGGTTTTAGAAGAGTTGTAACAAACATACATCTCCTCCTCACCATTTCTGTCTGTTGTGGAAACAGACAGTTGAACCATGGTTAAGTATGTTAGCTACGCCAAATACTTAAGACATAATCTGACAATTTGCTTAAATAAACAGTAAGTACATTTTCAGAGGTCAGTTAAAGATTAGAAGGGCAAACACTTTTTTTTTCTTAATGACATGCACAGATGAATTGTTTACCACAAAACTAGCAATGTGAGCTAATGAAATCATATGGTTTAGATTTTCGTTTTACTTTAGGGGGTCTATAATGGGGTCTATAAAGAATAGCACATTGTGTTACTGGTAACTGAACTCAAATTCAACATTTGTGTTTATCAGGATGGCTTTGACAAAGCTTTGGCTGGGGCAGGTGATAAGCTGGTAGTGGTGGACTTCACAGCCACGTGGTGTGGGCCTTGTCAGAGCATCGCACCTTTTTACAAGGTAACCACTTTTTGTGTTTTCATCAGTAGATATATTGGGGCACTTGAAAGCACTTAATTAATTTCCTTGTTGCATTGTTTCACATCTAGGGTCTGTCTGAAAATCCTGACTATTCTAATGTGGTCTTCCTCAAAGTAGACGTGGACGACGCACAGGTGAGATTTCTATTGTAGTGCTAACAGATTTTCCACAGAGCACATATGCAACTAGTTTCAAAATTTTTGTGCCACTATAAAAATTTATCGGAGGCATTTAAAACAAGAAAAGTGAAAACAGTGTATCCTCGTAAAAATTCCACAAACAAAAAGTACTTTTAAAGGCACAGTTCACCCAATAAGTAGAATATCTGTAAATATTCACTCCTTCTTTACTTGTTTTAAACCTGTTTTAAGTTTCCTTCTTCTTTAAAACATAAAGTTCTTTAAAATAATGTTGGAATATAATGGCCATTGACTTTCATAGCATGTTTTCACCTTACTATTCTTGTCAATGAATACCAGAATTCTTCAAAATATCTTCATTTGTGGTCAAAAGAAGTTCACTAGTTAATGATGACATTTTAATTTATAGGTGAACTATCCATTTAAATGCACAGATGCCTCTCTTAGTTGCAAAAATATTTCATACACTATATAGTGCACTGTTGGACACTTGTTTTTTTTCTCTAAGTGACACAATGAGAAATCTGCTAGCACAATGATTGAATTCCTTTGAACACAAAAATACATTCTAGGCTTTTAAATATTTCCTAAGTTTAATTTAGATATATTTTTAACATCAAATTAAATACCAAATCAAATTTTTGACCAGAATACCATATAATAATAATAGATATATTTTTTTAAATCTGCACAATTCTGGACATTTTAAATTACCTTATTCTTCACACACAAGCGGGCTCAGCTGGTGGAATTTCTTTGGCTCAAGACTTCCGGTCTGATTCACATCCATTGATTTTTAGACATAAAACACATTTCGTTATGCTGCTTTGTTGCAAACTGATATTTTTTTTACTATATTATTCTCCTTTTTTATGCATAGCCATGAACACACTTGTTTGTAGACCAAGTAGTCTGCTGTTTATTATGCCTCATTCACACTAGCAGTAGCTGCCTGTCACTCTGGGTGGTGACCTGCTGCAAACGCAAGTCTGTGTAGGTCTACAGCACGGAGAATACAACCGGCCTCTGAGCGAGCTGAGAGAGGATCACATGAGCTCTACTGGTGCTCCTATTGGCTGTCGCTCAAAGTCGATCTTTATTTGCATATAGTTAAAGGATTCTCAACATTGTCATGTCGCTCGACATGCTCACCTGGTCGCTGTTGCTCGCGTAAACGGAGGTCGCCAGAAGTTGCTCATTCTGTTGAAATAAACGGTCGCTTGTTGTTTTGCTGCTGCGAGTCGCTCATAGTGTGAATGATGCTTCATTCCTAGTCATTTCTCTCGTAAGCAACTAAATTGAAAGTTCTAAAACAATTAGAGTAAGATCAATAAGGATTCCTGATATTTAAAGGATTTTTATTTTTGTACTCTTTCCAGAGAAAAATATACACTTTTACAACCAATCTAAAGCAACATTCCAATATAAACCCTATACATTCGGTTAGTTTTGTAGATCTTAAATGTGTAGTAGATGAAAATTAACAGTCATGTAGTGTTTTTATTTTTAAATATACTTCATTATACATTGTCTGTTATTTGCTCCTGCTTTATTTAATTTTCTGTCAGCAACTGATTAAATATGATTACATCAAATTTGTGTTTGTAATCCTGTACTTTTAATATGGTATAAACTTATGTTTTTAAAATTCAAAAGGTTACCTTACAGTGCTGTTGGAGGACACCAAATATATTTTGTTCATAGATTCAGGCTGGTACGAAGCCTTTCAGACTGAAACTGCTTTACCCAGAGCAAATTCAATAAGACCGTCTCACAGTAATTGAATATCTGGCAACCGGTCAGACCTCCACTCACTGCAGAGGAGGAAGAGCTTTGTCTTTCATGCATCTATTGTTCATTTTCTGCAACCATGGCTTAAGCCTAAATCCCTTTTGGTAAAAGAAATATTAGCACTCATTACCTAACAGTTACGTTTTGTTAGATGGCTTTTGTAACCTTGGCAAATACTTTTGTGTAGTCATACCAGCCATTGCCTGTGTAATACAATAGGAGACCGTGCAGGGATGTACTAGTTAAGAAATAAAAATGGTTGCATCGGCAAAAACATTTAGCATGTCCTGAAAAAAAAAAATGCCTTTAACTCACATTTACACCACAAGAGGGCAGTAGAGTAAATGTCAAATTCCATCATGCATGCTTTTCTGTTGAAGACAAAACAAGATTTTATGAAGAATGTTGGGGTAAAAGCAGCCATTGACAACCATAGAAGGATCAAAAATACTATAGAATAGGATCAGAGATTATTAACGGAATATAGACAAAGTGTTCATAATTGTTCCATAAACTCCAGACACCATCTTATCTAATTGAAAAACCTATGAAGATTGCATTACTCAAAAACAAAGCTTTCAAAAATATTTCACAAGCGTCTCTCCAAAATGTGATGAATGCAAAATATCTGATGCATCACTGCTCCATAGACATTTTTTGCTATTTCTGCACAGAATTTTGTTAATCTGCGGATATATGCAGAATGATTTTATGGGTTTCATAACTAAAACTTAATATATGAAATAAAAAGTAGTACCATTTTAACTTTTATTTAATGTTAACAATGCTAATTTAATTAGAGTCACTTTATTTGGCAAACAAAGCAAGTCTCATATAACATATCTACTAAAAACATATGACTTTACAAACTGTATTGTGAATAAATCATATGAATACTTTAATATTAATCAATAATACTGTAATTAATCTAAAAACTGAATTATTAATTTACAAGTAAATAAACAGAGTCAATGATGGACTAAAAACTGCAGATTTCTGCGTACATATTCCATGTGGGCCTAGTTTGCCTAATGTTCTAGCTTACAGGACATTTGCTACAAAATTTTTTGTCTTTTCTAAAAATCACAGAGCAAATTATCGAACAAGATGAATTTTTTATTGTGTTTAGGGTTTCAAACCACGAGCTTTGATTATCCAAGTCTCAGCAACAAATAGTTTCCTATGGCCTTTTAACAGGCAAAAAAACTTCTAATGTCCTGGAAATCTCATCCCTCTTTCAAGTTATGGCTATGTGAACTCACAAAGACACTCCGTTTTGAAAGAATACGGTAACATTTACAGAAAAAAGCTTCATATTTATTGTCATATTGTATATTCTCATAATAAAAAATAATATGAAGCTTTCTGCTGAAAATCTTCCTTGAACTATGAAAATCTTCTGAACTATGACTTTAAGAGATATTGAAGTGGTGATGTTCTGTGTTTTATAGGATGTAGCGCAGTCGTGCGAGATCAAATGTATGCCAACATTCCACTTCTACAAGAACGGGAAGAAGGTTTGTGCTGCTGTTTTTCCTGTATAATACTTTGAGTTGAACTATTAATAGTCACATATCATTATTTCAAAGTCCAAAATGTCTTTTTATGATATAGTGTTTAATTCGATTCCTGTTATTGTTTGGATGATTGAATCTGTTGTTTTTCTGTTGTAGCTCGATGATTTCTCTGGGTCCAACCAGACTAAGCTGGAAGAGATGGTGAAACAACACAAAAACTGAGTCGGATATTACAAGTGTTTCCTGTGTAGCCCAATCTCCAGTTTTCGTAACAATAACTCCATAAATCTGTTATTTGTTAATGAACTTTCATTTTACAGCCGTTGTTGCAGGTCCGAATCTGCCTTACACAGTCTGTTATCCATTTTCATTCTAAATAATTACCTCTGTATGTTCCTGTGTGTTCATACATAATGTCTTTTTTTCCCAAGACCAATAAACACAATTATAAGAAAATAATGTGATGGAGAATGTTTTTCTTTTAAGGTAATCTTGCCGGTTAGCTCGGTCTAAAGTACAGTAATAGCAGTGTTATGCATAAATTGCTGAAAAAAATTTGATGCAAATTTTGTAGCATGTTTTGTCATTACCACATGTTTATTTTAATTTAAGAAGTATTCTTGCATGCTAATTGACAGGTAATGCAGAAACATTTTATGTTTTAGGGCTTAAACTCAAGTGTGTGCGTGTGTGTGTGTGTGTGTGTGTGTGTGTGTGTGTGTATATATATGCATGCCATTTATACGGTTGAAGTCAGAATTATTAGCCCCCCCTTGAATTTTTTTATCTTTTTTTTAAATATTGAAGTAAGTCTTATTTGTTTTATTTAGGCTACAATAAAAGCAATTTTTATTTTGTCAAAAAAACATTCTAAGGTCAAAATTATTAGCCTGTTATAAGCTATATATTTTTCGATGGTCTGCAGAAAAAAAACATCATTGTACAATAACTTACCTAATTATCCTAACCTGCCTAGTTAACCTGATTAACCTAGGTTAGCCTTTAAAGTGACATTTAAGCTGTATAGAAGTGTCTTGAAAAATATCCAGTAAAACATTATTTACTGTCATTATGGTGAAGATCAATTAAATATGTTATCAGAAATAAAACTTAAGTGATCAAATTGAAAAAATAAACAAATAAAAATAAATTTTATTTTATAAATATCTTTTTTTTTTTTTTTACAGCTTAATAGTTTTATTTCTGAGGATTATTCCATTACTATTAAAGTAATTAGACTGACTTATGATTGTATTTTTAACCCACAATTTTATTTTGTGGGAATTTAAGTTTAAATAATCTAGTTTCAAATAAGCAATGATTTTTATCTAACAGAAAAGTTATATTATTTGGTTGTTAATTAGCTTATTTAATTCAAAGCTAGCTATGGTGTGACATCGAAACCTCTTGCTTCCTGAGCATGGTCTAAGCCGAAGTGATGCAAATGCTATGGGCAGGGTCTTGGCGACTGTGCTTTTGTCTTTGGGTGATACTTTCAAGCTGGTCAGGGCAGGTGAAACCTCAGGACACTAAAACAAGATCCTAAACTAAACTAGTGATGCCCATTTTTCTATGTCTCCACCTAGCCACCTTTCAGATTTGTGAAAAACTTGCAGACTTATAAGACTCCTATAGGCTCTTGCAGACCTGTGGACTTCTTGAAGAAACTGCAGACCAACCAGCACGTCTCAATAAAGGAATTTGGCTTGTTTCAAGTCTCCTGGATTGGGTTCTCATTCATTTTTTTCCAACAATTTAAACAGATAAATCTGTATAATTATTGTATAATCTGGGTACTTTTTACACCTCTAGGTTTGTTTTTATCAATTTGCAGTTTAACAACACCTAATAGCAGAATATATGATAATTTTATTAGAATGTTTTTGAATGATTTTACTGTAAAAAGCAGAATATCAACACATTTTTGGTCTGTAATATATTTCGTGTGTGTATATAGTATGTTACCATTATATTAAGGCAATAATCCATGTGAAGCCATGATTAACAGTAAATATGAGAGGGGTCTGGATGAAGACCTGATGCAGTGCAATCTTGGCTGCATCCAGTTTTTAATCCGAACACCTAAACCTACCCCTCACAGTGACATCACTAGCTCCATTGAGTTGAGTCCATTGAGTGCATTGTGCTAATGACATCACCCCTTAGCTGTTTACCCATGGCTCTAAAGGTTGTTACTTTAAATACAAATGTTTAATTTATGAAAACACTTCTCAACAAAAACAGCTTAAATAAATCTAAAATCTGCAGTGCTATAAAGCCTAGTTTGTTATCGGTCAAAGGTTTAGGTTCAGTTTTTTTTTCATGAAGGAGGCATTTATTAAATGTAAAAAAAAAGGTTAAGTATTTGTAAAACTTTTAAATAACTGCTTTCTTATCGTGTCTTTTCAAGTAAAATTATTGCTTCAGTCAGTAATGCTATTATTACTAATAGTAATATTAATAGTAATCATAATAATATTAGAGTAATCTTGTGAATCATCATGTGACTTTAAAGACTATAGTATTTAGGCTGAAAATTTAGCTTTAAAATCACTGGAATAAATGATTCAACTACTTTTGAAAATATATTTATAGTGCAATGACATTTCACAATTTTACAATTTGTACTGTATTTTAGATTAAATAAATGCCTTCTTGGTGAGCAGGATAAGATTATCTTAAGACATTAAACAGCCCTACTGACCCCAAACTTTTGACCGGTATAGCTATTGACGAAAGAGAAAGTCAGTTTGTTTTAAAAACAAAGACACATTATGATAGTAGATGACGGATGTAAAATGATGTAAAACCTACCTTAAAAGCTAATTGTTTTATTGCTTACAGAAAAACACACAAACATACGCAAAACAAGATCTTTTTGTGACTACACATGCTGGAGCATTTCAAATTCACAACCCAGTTCCCGAAGAAAAATGTTACAGTAAGCAGGAACTGCAGGGTCACATATCAAACAACATGGATAAACAGAGCAGTTTCAAGTCATTTTAATATGAAACAGCAACCCTGGCGATTATGGTAATAGTTTAAAATTATTTTAAAACATTTTTAGGACGCAACTCAAACTTACACGAAAGGACATTTACTCCCATTATAAAGTTGTGAACCGCCATGGTTGTAGTAACCGTGTTTCTCCTCTTGGGGTCACTTTAGCATTCGGGATCATTTATGCCGATGAATTCCTCCTCACACATCAACAATTTTCTGAAAAACTATGCCTTTTATCACAGAACAAGCCGAAAAGAATATGCAGTAAAGGGAACGTTGGGTGGATGGACATGCCTTGATGCCAGATATCAGAGGAAAAGGGCAAGACTAGTTCAAACTCCTACAAAACAACAGTGACCACTACTCGCAAGCTCTGCAGAGGTGAACGCCAAACACTATACAAGATTTCCAAAGAGGATGGAACTTAATCATTTAAGGTTTAGATGTCGTGAAAGTTAAAAAAAAAAAAAAAAAGTTCAACTATTTGTCTGCTTGCACCAATATTGCCGGTGTGTCATCTTTTACTGCTGTGCTAGTCCTAAAGGCGAAACCATTTTTGAAAAACACAATTTTGCATATTAATGGGTATGTGTGTGGGTGGGTGGGTGTGGTAATGGGGAAAAGGTACTACTTTGCATATTTCCTAAAGCAGTTTTTGCTTCAACCCTGTTCCTGGAGTTATAGCAGTTCATATTTCGGATGTCTCTCTTATCTGGTTGATTTTCAGTTTTAGAGTCTCTTCTAATGTTCTGAAGCTTCATTTATAAAATGTTGCATAGAAACCTTCTTAAATATACACTCACCAGCCACTTTGTTAGGTACACATTACTAGTACTAGTAATTGGACAATTGGCTTCTAAGCTTTTCCATGGCCAGGTGTGTGTTATTCCGTCATTATGACATTTACAACGAGCAAATAAAAGGTCCAGAGTTAATTTCAAGTTTGCTATTTGCATTTGGAATTTGTTTGGAATCTGTTAACTGTAAACTTTTAAGATGAGAACCAGAGCTGTCACTATCAGTCAAGCCATCAATAGGCTGAAAAAAAAACATCAGAGAGATAGCAAACACATTAGGTATGGCCAAAACAACTGTTTGGAACATTCTTAAAAAGAAGGAACGCACCAGTGATCACGGCAACACCAAAAGACCAGGAAAACCACAGCAACAACTACTGTGGTGGACAACTGAAGAGTTCTTTCCCTGATTAAGAAAACACCCTTCACAAAAGTTGGCTGGATTAAAAACACTCTCCAGGAGGTAGGTGTATGTGTGTCAAAGTCAGCAATCAAGCGAAGACTTTACCAGAGTAAATACAGAGGGTTCACCACAAGAAGTAAATCATTGGTGAACCTCAAAAACAGTAAGGTCAGATTAGAGTTCAAAAAAAGCCTTTACAGTGAGAAGAGAGAAGGAAAGAAAGGGCTTATGATCCTAAGCAGTGAAGCATGGTGGTAGTAGTGATATGGCATGGGCATGTATGGCTGCCAATGGAATAGGTTCTCTTGTAATTATTGATGATGTGATTGCTTAAACAAGCAGCATATTAATCCATATTAATATACTCATTTTAATCCAAACACTTCAGAACTCACTGGACGGCGCTTCACAGTGCAGATAACCCAAAGCATACAGCAAAAGAAATCAAAGAGTTTTTGAAAGGAATGATGTGGAATGTTATGCAATGGCCAAGTCCATCACCTGAGCTGAATCCGATTGAATATGCATTTCACTTGCTAAAGACAAAACTGAAGGGAAAATTCCCCAAGAGCAAACAGGATCTGAAGACAGTTGCAGTAGAGGCCTGGCAGAGAGCACCACCAGTAATGAAACGCAGCATCTGGTGATGTCTTTGCGTTCCAGACTTCAGGCTGTAATTGGCTGCAGCGGATTTACAACCAAGTATTAAAAAGTGAACATTTGAGTTATGATTATTATTCTGTCCAATTTCTTTTGGTCCCTTAACAAGTGGGAGGCACATATACAAGCTGTGGTAATTCCTACACTGTTCAACTGATTTGTAAATACCCTCAAATTAAAGCTGATAGTCTGCAGTTAAAGCAAATCTCATTTGTTTTATTTTAAATTCATTGTGTTGGAACCAAAAATTTTAGAATGGTGTCAATGTCCAAACATTTATGGACCCAACAGTATTTAAGTTGTATTCCAACTTTGTTAGGGTTTGCCATACATTTAAACAAACTAAGGGCTAACTTATGATATTCCTGTGCACAAATATTGTCCAGGATCAATAACTGTAACTTCAAGAGTTCACACTTTGCCTATGATTTATTATGAAGCGTATTTGACATGCTGTCGTGGGAGCGAGCCCTGAGCTCATAAGATCCTCAAGCCTGGGGCTTCCTCCTGTTTGCAGGGAGAGAGGAGAGTTTGAGCTTAGGAAGTTCTCAAGATCTCCCCTGCTGTTTATGGCTAATGATGAATTAGGA